GGCTACTACTGTCTACCTATCTATTCCATTATAAGCAACTGAACTATTCTCTTATGCATGACAGTTCTATTTGCTGATGTATACAACAAGACTGTTCTAGTCTGTAGAACAATGAGTTGTAGAATTTCTTCCTCTTTGTATTTGGATAAGGCCTAGGTGGAAGAAAAAGAGATACACTTTCACTAGAAAAACTTTAAACTCATTGCCGTTGAGTCGATTTGACTCATAGCAACCCCTCCTTGGGTTTCTGATCTGGTATCACTGCAGAATTGGATTGCCCAATCTTCCTTCCAAGGAGTGGCTGGTGGATTTGAACCACCAGCCTTCTGGTTAGCACTCAAATGCCTTAGACACTATGCCACCAGAACTCCCATACCTTCACTTATTGTTGTTGTTATTTGCCGTCGAGTCAGACCCGACTTATAGCGACCTCTCCTTGGGTTTCCAAGGAAGTATCACTATGGAAGTAGATTGCCCCATCTTCCTTCCGAGGAGTGGCTGGTGGGTTTGAACCACCAGCCTTCTACCTTCACTAGGCCCACCTTATCCTGGTAAAAAATACCTGTAAAATATAATGGCAGACTGCACCATACTAAGCCATGCACAGAGGCCTATTGTGGGTATTTTTGGTGGCAATAGGATTTGGGAGAGGTTTAATTCAGAGAAAGGAGAAGCCTCCTTGGTCTTGAGGTTCTTCCAGAATACACCAAAACCAAACCAAACTCACTTCCATCAAGTTGGATCTGACTCATAGCGACCCCTCCTTGGGTTTCTGAGGCAGTATCTTTACAGAAGTAGATTGCCCAGTCTTCCTTCTGAGGAGTAGCTGATGGGTTTGAACTGCCAGCCTTCTGGTTAGCAGTCAAATGCTAGGCACTATGCCACCAGAATGGGAAATTTGATTCCAAATGTATGCATATGAAATATACTTATCAGAAAAGACTATTTCCACCATATTGGCCTAATGCTATTCATGTTTTCAACAGGTATGTAGAAGTTTCAACTCTCCTTCTAGGTATTGAGAAAGCTCCAATAGGGCTATATAAGGCTATCCATCTTCATACACCTCTGTATTCACTATAGCAAAAGTTCCCACTTCCAGCTGATCAGAATACTTTTAGTAGCTTATAGAAATGATGATTTATGATACTCTCTCCAGAAATTCAAGCTAAGTAGGTCAGGGATATCCTATTTTTGTTTGTTTGTTTTTGCTTTTGTCTTTAAGTGAGTATACCAGGTAATTTCACCAGGTTTTGGAACCAATCAATGCCCTACCCTAATGCTTACCACACAGAGAAATCATAAATAATACACCTAGTCTAGAAGGAACCTTAGAAAACATCCAGTGCAATTCTCTCATTTTACAGTAAAGACACTAATCCCAGAATAGGAAGTGACTTGCAAAGTTTTTCAAATATCAGGTCTCCCAAAGCCCAATTTATCTACCTAAATAATCAACCCCTAAATACATGAGCAAATGAATGATTATCCTTCATGCATTATATGTTACATCTCAAAGGGATTCTCTTGATATTGAGTAGATATAGAATGAAGCAGTACATGGAGCAAAGGAGCAACCAGAGAAGGATGCTTCTGAGAGAAAAGGGCATATCTGTTAGGCAAGGTTTAGAAAAAGGGAAAGGATAGAGAACTGCAAAGAGATGTAAGCAGGATTTTTCAGTGGGAAACACAGTCTTTAGACCCAATGTCACCCACATTTCCTTGAATTAATTAGCCTCCCATCTCTAGAAGCCATGCTCTCTGTTCTAAAGCAGCACAGTTGAATGTCAGGATGAGAGTCAGGAGCTGGTGTCTGGCTTGATCTCTGCCTCACACTGTGTGTGACTTGGCCAATGTAATGGCATCTCTGGGCAACTGTCCATTAAACTCTGAAATGGAAACAGTAATATACAACCTGTGAACCTTCTCAGATTCAAAAAGAGAGGAGTCATCTCAGGGAGGTCCTTAACACCTAGAAGGGCTTTGTAAATGGTCTCTTTTGTTCTGGAATTTGAATCCTCAGGTCTGGTCCTAATGACATTTTAAATTTTTTCAAGTGGTTGACATAGAAGAGAAAAGCAGAGAATTTGGAGATAAGTCATCAGTAAAAAGGTGGAGAGTAGAAGAGAAACTGGGAAGGGTCTCTAAAGGCAATGTTACAAGATTGTAGGCTAGTCTAAACCATGCTTCAGAGCCCACAGCTACAATTTCCAAATGTCTCTTAAAGCCCCCAAGCTTTTAAAGCACACAGACAAAAACACACAGACACAAAACACACACAAGGAAACATGTAAATATACAAAAGAACACACAAACATACATACTTCCGAGTACCTTTTTCCTCTGAGATACTTATGGCTTCATTATATTAGCTATTCTATGGTTTCATGGCTCAATCCAAAGCAAGGCCCAACTTCTTCACAGTGGGCCTCCCTAGAGGATCAGAGCTGGAATTTCTGTCAGGAGTAAATGGGTTTTGAGGACTTTTGAGGCCAAATAAAATCAGTCCCCTAAGAGAAAGGAGTTTCAGACCCTGAGCTCTTCCAGTTGACAAGATGGCAACCAAAGCTGGCATCTTCACAGCCCCGGTCAGTGGAAAAAATCGACCATCTGGATTCTCTGGCTCAGCTCCAGCCCGAATCACTACAAGGCCCTTCTATTGTACCATGATCCAATCCTTTTCCATATCCAAGCCTGGTTATTCTGGGGACTAGATTCCATCCAAAGAAAAGTGCAAGGCAGGAAACATTATGCATCCCAACAAAGAGCTGAAGTGATGACTTGTCCCCTGAACCTGAAGTAGGATGAAACTTCTTAAGTGTGAATTCCCTTATGTCACAGCCAGGCCTGTGCTTCTGCCTGTATCTGGAATGTGTTTGGAGAGAATGAGGGAGAGAACTAACAAAAATCTCACATCTGAATTTCCAGACTTTTTCCCATCCTGACATCCCCACCCCCATTCAGGGTTCTGGGTGATTAAAACCAATCCTTGTGTGGGAACTTCAGGCCCTGCTGTGGCAAGTCACTTAAATTCTGTATGCTTAGACTTCCAACTCTGAAAAACAGCAGGTTAATAATTCCCATGTTATAGACAGTTGTGGGAATTTGAGGATGTGTGTGTGTGTGTGTAGTCATTGCCAAGTGCTACTGGAATCAGAAAGAGCTGGTGGGCTGGTTAACACACAGATGGCGGGCTCCACTCCTGGAGTTTTTTTGATTCATCAGGTCTGGTATGGGGCCTGAGAATTTGCATTTTTAACAAGGTCCTAGGTGATGTTGATGGTGTTGGTCAACACTCTTAGAAGTAGTATGGTAACTAGGCTGTAAGCTCTCTGAGGGTATGGGTTGTGTATATCACTTTTACCAGTGCCTGTCTACCAGGTAAGCAATGAATGCATGTCAAATGAGTACCGAATAAATGAATTTTACATTAAGGATCTGTTTTTTCTTTATGCCACACAAGGATTTACTAGTAAATCTCTAGAGTCTCCACAACTCTCTGAGTATGCCTCAGAGCCAGGCCCTGGATCTGTGATTCCCATTGTTGGTGCTGGAGCTGTAGGGTCCTCTAGGGCTGTGGTCTGTGAGGAAGCATGCACCAGACCCATGCCCTGCTCTCCTCCTGAAAGGAGCTCCCACTATCCTCTACAGAGCACTGTGGTCTTAAGGCACATCTCCCTCTGGAGAAGGGTACCTCCCAGGGCCCTCAACCTTCAGGGGCTGCACTCTTCTGTGCAGGGAATGGGACAAAGAGGCATCTCCATCTCTCTTGCCCCTGCCAACCTTCACCTTCATGTTGCCAAAACCACCCATGCCTAATGGGCTTTGGGAACAATCAAGGACCACAGAGTCAGGCTCAGATGCTCCCTTTTGTATCACATCATAAAATGGGAAACACATAATTTTGTTTTGCTCCTTTCTGCCCTTCTCCTGATTTCACAAATATAACATGGCTGTGATGGCCCCAGAGCTGGGTAATCTGTTTAACCCAAGCCTGAACACCTTTACCTAAAAAAAAAAAAAAACTAGGATACACAAGTCATCTCTCTTATACTCTTATTATGTTTGTTCCTCCTTGACTTGCCTTTTCATCCACCTTTTCCCAACAGGGGCCAGGGACCCCAAAGGGGAGGATCATAAGACAATCCACCTGGTCTAAACAAAGAAAAGCTCAGACTTGGGTACGATGAACCCAAGAAGAAAAAACAAATAAACATGAAAATTTGTTCTAGAAAGTCAAAGAGGAGTAAAGAACAGGCATTTCTTGGGACTCAGGCTGTGAGTATATCATCATCTTTATTGTGAACACATCAGCCCTCTTGTTCCAATTCCTGGAATTACCCATCAGGACAAATCGTGTCTCAAGCTGCCTGTCCATAAGCCTTGCTGAGCAGCTGCCTGCCCCAGCAATGGCACAGGAATGTAGGGATATTCTGACCTCACTTGAATGGGAGTTTGCAATCTAGTTGAGCAGGTGAGGCACACACCTGAAAAGTGAAATAATTCAACAGATGTTGTAAGGCAGTTTCCAAGGTGATGGTATGGACAATGTAACGATTTCTAGGAGGAAGCCAGCCTTGTGTACTGGAGCAAGCTGAGAAGACTCCAAGGAAAAGACCTTGAAAGATGGGATTTCAGAGACTGAAGTGTAGGAGGGAAGTGGTCCATGCAAGAGGAAATAGTGAGCAGAGGCTTGGAGGCAGAGACACCCAAAGTATGTCCTGGGGAACACTTAGGTCACACCCTGGTGCCCAGACTGGTCTGGCTAGGAGTGAGGCTGTATAGAGAGGAGGAGTCAAAAATGAGGCTGGAGAGGGATCTCAGACTCAGATGTGGAGCCTGAGATGACATGCAAAGGAGTTTGGGCATCACCTGTGCAGCAGGGAGGTTCTGAATGTCTTTGAGCTGCAAACAAGAACAGATCAGGAAATTGTGACTGCTGGAATAGGAATAGCAATGTTTTCAGAGCAGGAGGCAGGGATGTCTCAGCCATGTTTGTTTTAAAAATAGGCACTCTTTACTCCAGTATAAGCCCCACCTTTCACTCCAACACAGGCATCTCCTTGGTCTTGGCATCCACTCAGACCACTGGATCCACAGCCAGCACCACTCTCTCTTTCCTGGTTGTAACCAGCTGGGGCACAGCTGGGCACCTCAGTGTCCAGGTGGTGTGGAATGGATTCATGACAGCCTAGGTCTTGTGGGCATGGAATTGGATTAGGGCCTGAGCATGGATTGGGATAGCTCCGAGGCTCCATACATGGCTCTGGACTTGGGCAGGGTGCTGGAAGGGGTATTGGCTCTGGAAGTGGACAAGGTTCTGGGTGATCACATGGCTGAGGAAGTGGCTCTGGGGGCTCACACGGAACTGGATTAGGACATGGAGCTGAACGTGGTGCTGGTCGTGGTTCTGGATATAAACACGGTTCTGAAAGCCTGCGAGGTGGAGGACACGGGCGAGGTTCTGGACTCAAACACCGCTCTGGGCGTGGGCATGGTCGTGAATATGGCCGAGGGGCAGGCAGTGGGCATGGACGTGGATATGGCCGAGGGGCAGGCAGTGGGCATGGACGTGGATATGGCCGAGGGGCAGGCAGTGGGCATGGACGTGGATATGGCCGAGGCTCACTTCTCTCCAGTGAAGGCTCTGGACATTGGTCAAGACGGCGTGGTGGACAGAAGCTTGAACTTGGGAATTCACGTCGCCTCAGGTCCGGGCAAGAGGCACCAGAGGAGGACCATGGGGCACAGCTCTTGGAGCAGCGTGCGATGGGAGGAAGCTGAACAGGACACTTCTGTGGGGGGACTTGCGCGGGGCAGCAGGGGGAAGAAATCTCTAATCGGCACTTGGGACCACATTTGTTAGAGCGTTCTGGAGTGCGACCCCGAGCACAGCCGCTGTGATAGATGGGCTCGGAGCGGCGGGGCGGTGTGCAGTAGCTGCAGGAATCCGGAGCGTATCTTGATGGAAGGCGGCTGCTGTAGTCCGGCCCACAACGCGGTGGTGGAGAACAGCTGCGGTAAGAAGGCTGCAGTTGACGAGGAGGGAGGCATCTGCCCGCGCTCTGAGACCTACGCTGCGCAGTGAAGCTTCCATAAGAGCCCTGGGCCTGGTACTGGGGTGCACAAGTGCGAAATGAAGGTCGGGACTGGCGCTGAGGGGCGCAGCTACTGTAGGACGCCCGAGACTGGATCTGGGGGGCGCAGTTGCTGTAGGACGCCCGTGACTGCATCTGGGTGGCGCAACGGCTGTAAGACGCTCCCGACTGGGGCTGCGGGGCGCGGCTACTATAGGAGCCCAGATATTGGCGCTGCATGGAGAATCCTCCTTGAGTCTGGCACACAGGGGAATATTCTATGTAAGTCTGGACAGGCTGTGGAGCTGGACAGGGTACATAGGACTGGACTGGGTATTCCACGAAACAGGTTTCTGTATAGCAAACTGGAGCATTTTCTACATAGCAAGTTTGAATGGGGCCCGGAGCTTCGTATTGCACATAGGAAACCTCAGACTGGCACGGAGCCTGACATTTCACCTGAGTGGTCTGAGTCTGGCAGGGAGCTTGGCACTTCACCTGGGTGGTCTGGCATGGAACTTGGCATGGAGCCTGGGAAACTTGAACTGGGCCTGGTGCCGGACATTCCACAATTTGTACCTCACAAGGAGCTTGGACCACTACCTGGCCTGTGGCACGGGGAGATGGGGAGGGGGTGAAGGAGGAACCCTTGATGCAGCACTGGGGGATTGGCATGTAAGACTGAATCTGCTGCTGGTCACACATGGTCCTGATACAGGTAGGTGGTTGGGACCTGAAAGTAAAGAATCAGGAGGGTGAGAGTTATTGGTGAGGAAAAGCCAGGACCTAGAGAAGCCACCTTGCTTCTTCTTTGGCCTTTCCTCCCACTGCCCTCCACCTCTACCCAAATAAAGCTCCAAAATCCTCCACTGGAGAATCCTACCTAAACTACCTGCACCCAGGACTCATCACCATTACCCATGATAACTGTCTTAGATCTGCTAAAGGACCTGACTGTGCACTTCTGAGGTGGCTTAAAGGTACAGCCAGAGTTGCAAGTGTCCAGGGTCTCTGCCTGGGAGGTGTCTAGCACCAGAGGGTGCTGATGACAAGAGAATTTCCATCACTACCTCAAGTGTTATGTGGTAGAAGTGAGTTCCACAAGAAGCAGAAGGTAACACCTGTTCCTAAGGCTGTATGTAGCCCACAGCGTGGACCCCATGCCCACCCCCCCAATAAAACCCACTGCCATTGAGTCTATTTTGACTCATACTGACCCCCATTGGGTTTCTGAGCTGTTTGATCTTTATGGACGTAGATTGCCCAGTCTTTCTTCTGCAGAGTGGCTGGTGGGTTTGAACCACCAGCCTTTTGGTTAGCAGTCAGATGCCTTAGACACTGTGCTACTAGAGCTCCTCCATGCCCACAGGTACTTGGATTTTCTCACACACAGAATAAAAACAAAAAAAAATAGCAGCACATGTATATGTACAAACATGTAAAAAAAAAAAAAAAAAAAAGCACAAATAAGAACATGCATTACGTAATATCAAAGCATCCAGTTGGAAAATAAAGGATCCATTCAGTTATTTGGCAACTGACACACAATGCAAAAATGTTTCTTTTTCTATATTCAATCGTTTTTGGGTAAATTTGTTTAAATAGGTGCTCTGTGGACAATCTACTTCTGTAGTGATACTGCCTCAGAAACCCAAGGAGGGGTCACTATGAGTCAGATCCGACTCGATGGCACATAACAACAACAACATGGACATATATGAGAACAGGCACATACAAAACACACTAGCCTTGGAGAGACTCAGGACCATCTTGCCAACTTGCCCAGGCAAGTCATTCACTGTTGTTTACGACCTGACGTATGACAGTCTGCTGACTTTAGAAAAGTTTTCTTCCGGTTGTTCTGCGAAGCAGGGTGGAGTCACCCAAGGATGAATATTCCACAAAGTGTAGGGTTCTTGATCACAAGACTGACATTCAGCCGCAATTAGGGACCTACGCAGCTGGAGTGTTACAAACATGGCCTGATTGGAGCAGGCATAACTGCCAACACCATACTTAGGCAGGGAGGAAGCACAGGGCAGTGCCTGCTCCTCTACCTTCCTCAAATCCACCTGTTCAATACAGGCAGTCAAGCAACCAGCACACAGGGAAGCTGATTTGACAGTTGGCTCATCCAGCAAAACACCTGTCTGTGAGCTCTCTCAGTGCTGAAAACTGAAAGTGCTTCAATGAAGGACAGAGCCTCCCATTCTTCATTTGTAAACAGTTTCTAAATATACATGCCCTCGGGGGAGGTAACCCTCCTACATACAACACTGTTCACAAGGTGTGAATTACTAATATGTCTTTTCCAGGGAGATCAAGTCCTAATGAAGAAAAATGGTGCCCAAGGATGAGGCCAGAGCTATCAAAAGCATAGTCCATTGACCTCACAGCCCAGTTCTTCACACAAACCTCATACATATCCTTCTTACATTTCCTATAAAGCCACCAACTTTTCCTCTCAAGCTGATGTACCACTCTTCTTCTTCTCCCAACTCCTCCCCTGGCACCCTCAGAGCATAACTCGTACCCCAATCCCAAGACCCAGCTCTTGGACTCACCCTCTTCACAGGCAAGCAGTCATTCAGGCTGAGGCTACTAGGCAGAGGTCAGTCTTTATATAAAGGCTTCTGGGTCTGACTTGGGTCATGAGGCAACTGGTTGGCATCTGCCTGGCTCATGACCCATGCATTCCAGTGGTCTGTTCCCTCCCTGTATCCTTGCAGTCATCTGTAGAGTGTGGGAGTGTCTCGTCTCAGTGTCAAAGCTTCTGGACTATGAAGGAACAGATTCTTGTTTCCTTCCTCCTTCTTCACCCTATCAGTTTCTTCCCCAGCCCTAGAAGACTTACTTGGTGGTAGAGTCCGAGAGGGGTGCAAAGAAACCTTCTTTCCTGAAAAATTATTGTAGGCCCCCACCTTCCTCCTTGTCTCAGGTTCTCTTTGGATAGATGTAAAAGAGAAAATATTGCCTAACTTGAACCAACTAAAATAGTCCAAAGATAGAGGTAACTCAATAAAATGAAAAGAACTTGGTTTCAAAGCAGTCTGAAGTCCCAAATCAAATTCTTATGGTGATATGACCTTTTTAACCAATCTGAGTTATTAATTTACTCATCTGCAAAGTGGAGAAGATTAAATCTTCTTTCCTGAGTTGTAAGGATTGTGGCAATTATTTTATACAAAAACATTCTGACAAAAATGATATTTAAAATATTCAACAACCACTCATAGTCAATTTTAAATGTAAGAGAAAGGCACAGCTTGGCCAATAGATGCCTGCTACATCCTAGTCTTGAGCTGAACAAATTGATGATTGTACAGCAGATGCTTAGCTAATGCAATGGACCTAGAAGGCAGCACAGTGTAGGAAAGAAACAATAAACTGGTTTACCTATGCTGTAGCATGCATCAGGACTTCATTTCTTTTTACAGCTGAGTAATAGTCCATTGTATGTCTATACCAAATTTTGTTTGCAAACATTACTCTGAGTGAAGTAAGTCAATGACAAAAGACTAAATATTGTATGAGCTCACTTACAAGAAATACCTAGAGTAGGCAAATGTATAGAGATCAAAGTTTAATAGTGGTTACCAAGGCTGGAGGGCAAGGGAAAAGAGAAATCATCGTTTAGGAAGCATTGAGTTTCTGTTTATGGTGATGGAAAACTTGGCATGCAAATATACACACATCCATACATATGCATGTATGCATATGTATCAGCCCCAGGGTTACAGGTGAGGAGAGACAACTCAGGGACGCCCAAAGTACCAGGCAGGAAGAGCAGGAGAAAGGGGATTAAAAGCCAGGAAGCCACAGAGAAGAGCAATCAGCCGAAGGGATTAGGTGAGGAGAAGAAACTTGGGCCCGCCCAGAGTAGCAGGCCAGAAGATCAGGAGAAAGGGGATAAAAGCCAGGAACCGGGACAGAGGAATAGTCAGCCCCAGGGACAACTCAGGGATGCCCAAAGCAGCAGGCAAGAAGAGCAGGAGCAAGGGGATTAAAAGCCAGGAAGCCAGACAGAGATACAGTCAGCCACAGGGACCCAGGTGGGGGTGATACAAGAGGTCTCCAACAGCAAGACAAACTTGTCTGTCGGTTTGTCCTACTGTGGTGACATGTAGACGTGAGTTTTGAGGCTGAGCCTCT